AACACACGGTAAGAAAGACGTTTAAGATGTTTGTTTTACAAATAAAATATAATGTAACTCATTTTATTATTGTAAATCATAATTTAGTATAGTAGTACAGAATCAGAAACTTTTTAATCAATATTGATTGTAAATGATACTTATTGAAAGTCACTTTTCTTAATTTACCATTGGTTTGGAAAAAAATCTCTATCTTGGGAAGAAGCAACAAGAAACCCAGTGGGACTTTAAAAAAAATAACAGCTTACAATCATGTTATTACAATTACCAACATAGAACAAATTAGAAATAGCTTGGTAGCGATCACCTTACCCAGGGGTTATTATAATCCATATATTCCTTAATAATATAATAACCTTTTTTCATACAAACTTAGTTTATTAAGGTTTTTGAACTTTGATGATTGATTGAGATAGACAGACAAAAGAGATGAAAAGACTTTCTTTTAACATGTTTTGGTTGATTAGTAAGTCATCATCATCATTACAGCCCTTCACAAGTCCACTGCTGAACATAGGCCTCCCCCAAGTAATGCCACAAAGCACGGTCCTGAGCCACCTGCATCCATCGACTTCCTTACTCCTACCAGGTCGTCACTCCATTTAGTGGGGGGTCGCCCTACACTACGCCTACCGGTACGAGGCTGCCACTCGAGAACCTTTCTTCCCCATCGGTTACCGGTTCTTCGAGCTATATGGCCGGCCTATTGCCATTTCAGCTTACTAATCCGTTGGGCTATATCAGTCACTCTGGTTTTACTGCGGATATCCTCATTTCTGAGTCTATTACGCAGAGAAACTCCGAGCATAGCCCTCTCCATAGCTCGCGGAGCGATCTTGAGCGTCCTCATACGGCCAGTAGTGAAGGACCACGTCTCAGATCCGTAAATCATCACTGGCAACATGCACTGGTTGTACAATCTAGTTTTCAGAGATTGAGGTATACGTGACGAAAAGATGTGTCGTAATTTCCCGAACGCTGCCCAGCCGAGTTGAATCCGTCGATTGACCTCTAGGTCGAAGTTGGACTTACCTAGTCGGACTATTTGTCCCAGGTAAACGTACTCATCAACAACTTCGAGCATAGTGCTCCCAACAACTACTGGCATAGGTGTGATATGGACATCAACATGATCTTTGTTTTGTCCATGTTCATCTTAAGACCTATCCGTTAATGATTAGTAAGTACTTTAACAATAATAAAATATTAATTGTATTATAATAAAATAACTATGCTATAATATATCAAAATGTCTAGGTAATATCATGCTTATCTATGTTATTACACACTGATAAATAGCGAGGAAGGAAGATGTTTGAAACTGTTTCTGTAAGGATTACAAAACCACAGGTATACTTTAATTGTACTTATTACTAGCGATTCGTCCCGACTTCAAACTAGTGATTTATGGATTTCCATAACAGCACCATCTACTGGTTAGTGGTATATATATATGTATAGTGGTGTATATATATATGTTCTATCTAGGGATCCATTCAAACACACACAAATATTTTCATCGAAATTGGTTGGATGGTTTCAAAGTCTATAATGGACATAGGTAAAAGACTTTGTGTTTTATATAGGTATACATAGATTCTCAATCATCATCATTTAAATAACTTGACGGTATCATGTCAATTTATGGAATAAGAAGGGCATTTACAATGATAAGAATTATGATATATTAAGACTGTGGTATTCAATATCTGTACACTATTGGTCTCTGCCTACGGGTAGCTCTGCAAGTTTTCAGCCCGCAAGGCATACATATTGGTTCTAAGCGATTCACTTGAAAAGAAGTACATGAATATTGTAAGTGTCTTAACTAAATAATAGTTCTTACCCTTATATAATTTTTGCAATATATATAGCTTGTAGGGACTTTGTTTACATTTAAAACGTTTACAGCCAAAAACACAAGTCCATTTAAGATTTTGTTAGGAATCAAAAGGACTTTTTTAATCATATGAGACAAGACTATGCCTTCAATGTCAATAAACTATATTTCCATATTTCTGTCACCATTTTGTTATCTCTGCCTCTATGTTAAATAAAGAAGAAATTTAAAATTCTATACCATTAATTAGCTCCAGTCGATCAAATACAGAAGCAGTAATTATGAATTAACATGATTAATATTCGACTATGTAAAAGTTGTTTCACATTTTATTTTCACTGGTTTCTGTCGTAAGTATCTGGTTGTAGATGACAAAATGATATTCCTTTCTGCAGAGTTAACCATACAGCTGTCTAAGCATAATAGAAGCATCTGATTCTACCACAGGGAATGATCCAAAAACATCAAGGTTATAACCATTACACTTTTTATGCAAACTTTATTTCTAAGCAAACTTATATACTATAACGTAATATTATTCAAATTTTATATTTGCGTATGGTACAAATAATTAATACAGTTTTACATATAAATATATGTACCATATATATTGTCTTATCTACTATGACTGGTAAAAAATGAGGATCCATATCTGGCTTTCCAAATAAGCCATTTAGTATTAAACAACTTTCTGAAGACATAAGGTACCTATTTGTACATAAATGCAGTTAAATGAATCGCTCTTCAAAGCCAATGAAGGTATATCAAATTGAGAAGCTTTCTTTAATCTCTCTATCCAAAGATTTTCTTTAAACATACAAAAAAACTTTATTATATCTATCATTTAATTTAGATTTTATTAATAGCATAAAGTTAATAATTTGTCACTTTTAACATACTAATAAGGTTCTAAGAATTGTTTGTCATTTGTTTGTGGTAATTCAACATAATTAATAATAGAATTTCACAAACTACTAGGTGGAAAAGTAAACTCTTGCGTTACATACATACTCTTATATTAATTAACCTAAACTCATCAGTTTTATTGGCGAATTTTACCACAAAAAATAAAAATAAAAACACACACACGTAATGTTGAATATTAATATTTGGCTAACCTGCACGATAATATCCATATTCTCTTAAATACTTTAGCAGCGATGAGACGATTTATATTGTCTTGTAAACAAACAAGTATATATTTTTTTATTTTTATACTGTTACGCGCCTAAGTTGACGTCAGGTACCTGGAACTAGCGCCATCTATTGTCGGGGACCAGAGCGAGGAGGGCTTCCTAGAAAATGTCAATCTTGGCTTTCGATCAACAGCGTCATCTAGTATCGAACAGAAGAGTTAAGCTTTCTAGAAGCCCCACACTCGAACTTTCTGCACCTGGTCGGTTGGCGTGCGTATTTACTTGAATATTCTGGATGTTTCGGTGAAAAAGGTGTATTTAAAGGCGTTGCAAGACTCGATCGGGGCAGTATTGAATTTGGCGAGACAAGCGAAGCTTCGGATCGAAATAAAGTGATATTAGTGTGATTAATTATTAGTGTCTTTTAAGTAAAGTGAATTAAAGTGTTAATTTTGGTAATTTAATCGGCAGTTTTTATTGTCACGAACCCTAAGCTCGTAACAATTGGTATCAGAAGTGGGATTAAATCATTCCGATTTTATCTAAGGAGGAAACGGAGGGTGTCCGTACCCGAAGTCAATGCCAGCAGGAGAAAGACCAAAGAAGATCCAAATCGTCACCACCAATGGTGCAACGCCACAGACGTCGGAGGGCCAGCCACCGGCTGCAGGCCTGTCAGTAGCTCCTATATCTGCAGAACCTGACTTAGGTGCTCTGATGGTGATGCTGCAGGAGCAGGCTCGCCGACAGGAGGAGCAGGTCCGTTGGTTGAAAGAGCAGCAGGAAGAACAGGCTCGCCGACAGGAGAAACAGGCTCGGTGACAGAAGGAACAGGTCCGTCAGTTGGAAGAGCAACTGTGGGGTGGAAAGGATGAACAGACCCGTTGGTTCAAAGAGCAGCAGGAGGAACAGGCCCGCCACCAAGAGAAATAGGCCCGTCAATTGGGAGAGCAGCTCAAACGCGATAGGGAAGAGCAGATGCTCCTCTTGAAGGACATTCACGCTATCTTCGGGAAAGAGATAAGAGAGGTGAAGGATAAGGTTGCTCAACATGACAACTGCCTGTCGGAATCTGAAACCCGAATCGACCAAGTGAACAATCGGGTTGACAACGTAATGGCTGATATGAAGAAATCACTGGACAAATTCAAACTTGGGGATGGAACTACAGCTGCCGTAGTAGCTACTACACCTTCGCTACGTGGGTTCAAGGTGCCACCGTTCGACGGAACTTCCTCCTGGTCAGCCTACAAAATCCAGTTCGAAGCTGTTATGAAGGCGAACGACTGGAATAAAAGTCAGGCCATGACTGCTCTCACACTAGGCCTGCGCGACCAGGCCTTAACAGTTCTGGAGGCCCCGGCGAGATACGAACTCGCGATCTCCTGTTTACCAAACTTGCCCCACAGCCATAGAACCTAGGGCTGTATCTATTATTGCGGTCGCGAATTGTAGCTGCTGCAACCTTCCTGACACGATGGGTACGCAGATACATTGTCAAGGAGACCTTGTCCTGAAGATTGCAAACATTGTACTAGGCAAGAGAGTAAGGAAGTGGTATCCGTGAGGATGCTCAGGACAGACCACCTCAGCAACGAGTGGAAGGACAGCCTACGACGTGCACAGTAGGAAGATCCGGACATCAAGCCGATTCTGGAATGGATGTAATGTTGTACGGTTGGTAAATGAAAGGGAGACGTGTTTATCTACTCAAGGCTTTAATTATACTGTCACTTATTCTACTCTTAATACAAATATATATAATTTGTGGAGCCACACTACACCTCCCACCGACAAAAAATAAAAAAATAAATTAATACATTTGTTTTGGCCCAAAGACATCTAGTATAACTATCCTTAATTACGAATCAAAATGCAGATTTATTGTTGTCTCTACACTCACCATACGAAACACAGCAGTATTAAGCTACTATTTTAAGTTTTTCTGTGAGAGGGTGTTTCTTCTCCGGTCGAAACGATTGATTCGTGAAAAAGATTCGTAGTTGTGATTGAATATCAGATAGGAGAAGGGTCGTCTTTTATGCCAGGGTGCACGTTCCAGCGTGTACGAGGCGTTCGAGAGTGCGGCGATGTGCTGCGCGTGGGCAGTGAACGGACGCGTGGGCGCAGCGGGTGCAGCGGGTGGTGAGCTGCGCGCGCTGGTACCGCCACCCGCCGCTGCATCGCTGTGCACGCACCGCGCTGCGCACGACCTCGGTGCGACCCTTACTTTATTGTGTGATACAGACTGCCTAAGTGCTTAGTGGTTTTAAACGCGTTTCTGAATCCGGTCGCTGGTTCAAATTCCGGGTGTTGTCAAAATCAGTAATTGAGTTTTCTGTCAAGAAATTCTCATTTGCAGCCCGGTGTCGGAAAGTCGGAGGTATTTTATCTCCGCGACTTAAATAAACTCCGTACGTCGGAAATCACGTAAACACGTGGATTCTGCGCCTGATCTCTCTCCGGTCATGTTGGTTTGCAGGCCCAACGGACGATGAAAGTGAGAGAATGAAGAGTGGTACACAGGTGCACAGGATTATAGTATCCAAGAGTATCGCAAGAATAGGCTTGCGCAGATGGCTAGTCTGTATTAAGACTAGCCATCGTTAAATGTAGATTTTAATACGTAAAAGTAATGCTACTTGTGTACTAAATTTCTGCATATATGAATTGTTATTTGATACGATGAATCAATTACTTTTATGTGATGTGTACTTCAAATTATTGTGTTATGAGATACTATCGTCGTCAACATCTGCTGGTACAAGTTGCTCTCAATAGGGCGCATCAATATATTGTGAAGAACTTTCTTAAGAAATCATTACAAATAATAATTTTATATTTGCCGCCGCTGTCCACTATCATCTCGAGACGGCAAAGCCGGCTCTGCTCTTTCTGATCGAGACGCAGGTGTCCCCTCCGGCTGATGCTTCGTGTTCCTCCTACTTGGGCTACAAACTGGAACACTCCTATGTGCCTCGGGCTGGAATTTGCATATACGTTTGAGAGGACATCTTTTTTCAACGCCTCGGAAGTCTTGAAGTTTCGGACCTGTCCATCCTTTGGTTACGCGTAGACAGCGACAACCATCGGCGCGTCTACGGGTGCGTCTATAGGTCCCATAGCGGTAATGCCTAAATAAAACAACTCTTCAACAACATCCAAATGGCTACAAGTTCATTGCTACAACAGATCCCCTCTGATTTTAACGCTCATCACGCCGAATGGCTTGGTTCACGTTTAACAGATCATGCGGGGAGATCTGTTCATTATTTTGCCTTGACATGTGGTCTAACACAACTGGTTACTTCGCCTACGCGGATTTTAGATGTGGAGGATCACGCAACTTCTCTGTCGGACCTTATACTGACCTCTTATCCGGATGGATATAAGATTTCAGTCTATGCCCCTTTAGGCTCTTCGGATCATTGTCTTATCTGGAGTGTGGTGCAACTCACGCTGAAATCGTGGTTGCATTCTGCAGGCTGCCGCCATGTTTGCCACTATATGTCAACCGATTGGGATAGGATGCGGTCTTTCATTGCATCCTACCCTTGGGGGCGGGTTTGCTTCTCGCCGGACGATCCCAACGTTGTTGCTGATTCTGTCGCTGATGTGGTACTTCAGGGTATGGAACTTTTTATTTCTACTTCTGTGGTGGCCATCGGAGGCAAGTCTCAGCCATTGTTTAGTCGCTCTTGTAAAATAGCATCATGCTATAAGCAGGAGTTCTACCGGGCCTAAGCTGACGCATCAACGTTCCGGGATGTAAGCACCAGCGCTCTAAAAAGAAGTATAGTTCCGCCTCCAGGTTCCTGAAAAGAGTCATTGTCAGGGAAAAGTCAGAGTACATAGGCAGAATTGGCGAGAAACTAGTTCGCCTTCATTCTAGAGCTGGTGCATTTTGGTCTCCCGCCAAGGCTGTCCAGGGGAAATTCTGTCATCCACTCCTCTTCCATCTCTGCACAGGGGGCACAACTCACGGGCCCATGCCGTAAAGGAGAAAGGCGATCTGCTAAGCTATTTCTTTGCATCTAACATGACTCTCGATGACGGGGGGAGTACGCCGCCGACAATCCCGCGGTGTGAGTGCTCCATACCGGAGGTGCGGCTTTTTTTTATTATGTGCGAGCAGCTATGCAGGTCTAGGTAAAGAGACCAGTATCACTGCGACCTAGAAGATCTATTGTGATCGCTGCTATGGCTATAGTTCACTGCTAAGCCCTATGTCTTCAATGAATCGAAGGAGTTGCTTAGCCGTGAGCAATTTCACTTCTTCTGGGCGGAGTAGATAATGTCCCAGATGAGTGTTACGTTTGCGCATTAAAGGTTCGCAATCGGTTAGGATATGTAGAGGCGTTTCTTCCGTTATGGAACAGAACCGACACATCCTTAAGTTGCTTAGTCCCAGGATGGACATGTGCTTTTTAAGACAACAGTGTCCAGTTAGGGCTCTTGCCAGAATGCGCAATTGATTTTTACTTAATCCCAGGGCTTCTGAAGCGAATTTACGATCAAAAGCCCGGATTAATGTTTTAGAATGTTTTAAGCCTGGTGTGTCAGACCAGATCTTAAGTGATTTATTGTGATAAAGAGTTTCAAGGGTCAATCGGGCTAGGCTTCTTGAGATTCCACAAAATGGCTCGGGTCCAAATTGTGTGCACTTTGAGCCCTCCCGTGCAAGTTTGTCGGCAAATTCGTTGCCTACAATACCCTTATGACCCGGAACCCATCTTAAAATGACCCTGTTGTTACAAACCAGGACGTTTAAACGGTTCACGCAGTCTCCAACTAGCTTTGAGTTCACTAAGTTTGATCTCAGCGCTAGCAGTGCTGCTTGACTATCGGAGTTTATGTAAATTTTATGGTTGACGTAGTGTTTTTGCAGATTGATTTCCGCACACCGAAGTATGGCGAAAATTTCTGCCTGGAAGATAGAGGTGTATCTACCCAAATTCATACTAAGTTGGAATTTGGGGCGCTCCCCGTAAATTCCAAAGCCTACGTCGAGGCCCATTTTGGATCCATCGGTATACCATATAAGGCTACCGACCTCACAGATAACCTGGCCATTCAGACAGTCTTCTCTGGAGGGTAATTCCACTATATACTTTTATCAAAAGTGTATAGTGGATGCATGATATTTGAGATCATACATAAGACCGGTGATTCCTTAATTGAGTCGAGCATGGATCTCAATCTGTAGGAGAGCAAGCTCAGCCCGCCCTGGGCGTTAATTCTATACAAACTAGCCCTCGCCTCCTTGTCTAGATAGAGATCAAGGGGCGTTAGGCATAGAAGTGCATTAAGAGCCGCTCCAGGCGATGATCGCGTAGCTCCAGTTGCCATTAGGCAGGCATTCCTTTGTAGACTATTTAGTCTGTCCGCAGTCGTCTTTTGGTTGGCCTTTTTACACCAGACAATAGAGGCGTAGGTGAGAATCGGCCTTACTATGCTGCTGTACAGCCATAGGACCATACTGGGACGCAAGCCCTAGTTGTTCCCGACCAAACGACTGCACGTACCTAAAGCAATTTTTGCTTTATGGCATACGTTGCTAAGGTGAGAGTTTCACGTTAATTTTTGGTCGATTGTTACGCCCAAGTACTTAATTTCCGTGGAAAATGGTACTTCTTTGCCATTAAGTTTTGGTTGGACTAATTTGTCCAACCGTCTCTTTTTGGTAAAGGGTATTATAATGGTTTTATCAGAATTAACTGATAAACTGTTATCCCTACACCAGTTATTTATGGTGTTTAGGGCTCTTTGTATTATTGACGATAAAGTACTTTGGCAAAAGTCCCTTGCAATGATCACAAGGTCATCAGCATAACCCAATGTGTCAATGCGTAGGTCTGCCATTTTGTACAATAGTTGGTCAACCGCAAGAGTCCAAAGAAGGGGTGACAAAACACCTCCTTGTGGGCAGCCTCTTGTGGTTGCAACCTCAATCGAAGTTTGAAACAGCGCTATATTTGCCTTTCTGTTTGAGAGCATCGACTTCACTTGATGGTTGTGGGGTCAACATTTTTATATGTTAGGCCCCCAATCAGCAGTGATGTGGGGCTACTGTCGAAGGCGCCCTCAATATCTAGAAAGGAGGTGCGGTTTACAAGGCACTCTGTTGGCAAGGCACTCCTCTCCCTGGACATCAACAAGTCGAGTGGACCTGACGGAGTCCCCACAATTGTGCTTAAGACGTGTGCTCCAGAGTTGGCACTGGGATCGGGATCCCTAAAAAAGGTGACCGCTCAGACCAGTCCAACCAGAGGCCTATCAATATCCTTGTTCTTCAAAACAATGGAGTCCATTGTAAACGGCCAGCTCATAACGTATCTAGACTTAGGGATTTTCAAGAAAAGAGCTTACTCCTTTCTAAAGGGCCAGCAACGCATCTGCAATTCCCCCGGTGTTGCGGTTGTTCGTTTTGTATGTTTCGTATGCTCGCTTGCCACCTTTCTTTTTACAGAAGAGGGGACCCACAACACCGGGGGAATTGCAGATGCGTTGCTGGCCCTTTAGAAAGGAGTAAGCTCTTTTCTTGAAGGTCCCCAGGTCGTATCGGTCCGGAAAAATCGCCGGTGGTAAACTATTCCACAGAGAGGTTGTACGCGGAAGAAAACTCCTTCTGAAACGTACTGTGGTGGACCACCAAGCATCCAGATGGTGTGGATGGTATCGGGACGTTTGCCGCGTAGTGCTTTCACGAAATTTGGCGACTGGGATTAATTCGAACAATTCCTCAGAGCACTCTCCATGGTACATGCGAAATAAAATGCAAAGAGATGCAAAATCTCTTTGCAGTGCTAGTGAATCGAGCCGATCGGAAAGCACTCGGTCGTCGACGATTCGAGCCGCTCTGCGCTGGATGCGGTCAAGTGGAAGGAGCTGGTACTGGGGAGCCCCAGCCCAGAGATGGGAACAACCCACCACCTCCCATGGCCCCACCGACCCTCAGGTCATACGGGCCTAATCTCGGGAGATGCGCGCGGTACTTGCACCTTGCTGTTTCCCCGCGCGCACTTTCTTGACTCCCTACAAATATTTATTCTGTTCCTTGTCCCAGTTTAACGTCATTCTCCCCCTTCTGGGGCTGACGGCACAATAACGCCTACGTCGTCGGGCCTTCCTACCAGCATCCTATCCTGCCTTTTCCTGCGATCGTGCCACCTATGCGCAAACTCACGCAACAGCCCGTAGTTCACCCCATCGCTGACGAGATCCGAGTAGTAAATCGGTCCCTGAACCGTTCGAACCAGCCCATCCAACACTTTCGCTCTTAGATCGTCATACAGAGGACATTCCCATAGGAAATGGTGAACATCCTCCTCTATCGTACCACACTCACACATACTGGTTTCACACAGTCGCATGTCATGCAGTCTCTTCCGAAAACATCCATGTCCAGTGAGAATCCAGAGATGGGAACAGTATTCCATGTGCGGCAAAACCTGCGCCTTGTAAAGTCGCAGGCGGTGAGCCGGCATGAAATACTGTCCCGCTCTGCTGAGCACGCCAAGCTTTTTAGAGGCCAATTTGTCCAAGTGACCACGAAACTGCACGTCACTCGATATGTCAACGCCCAGGATTCCGATACTGGCTGTTGCCTTGAAACTTGGGAGATATGACAAAGGGGTTCTTTTTAGCGGTTAACGCGCAAACTTGTGTCTTCTGGGGGTTAAACTGGACTAAATTTAGTCGCCCCCAATCCGAGACTCTATTCAGCAAAGACTCAACTTCAGACACAAGTTTGTCCCGGCACTCGGAGACGTTTTCCCGAGAAATATTGGCTGGGCCGGTGTAAAGAGCATCACCAGTGCTGTCATCCGCATAGCAATAAATGTTACGTTTTTGCAACATATCATTGATATGCAGAAGAAACAGCGTTGGCGACAACACGCAGCCTTGTGGAACACCAGCATTAATAGGCTTGCAATCGGAGCTTGTACCGTCTACAACGACCTTGATGATCCGATCTGCAAGAAAGCTGGTGATCCAATCGCACAATTTCTCGGGAAGCCCATAGGAAGGGAGCTTCGAAAGAAGCGCTTTGTGCCAAACCCGATCGAAGGCCTTCGCAATGTCCGAACTAACGGCCAATACCTCCCCCTTGGACTCTACTGCCTCCGCCCATCTACGAGTTAGGTAGACCAGAAGATCACCAGCTGATCGGCCACGGCGAAAACCGTATTGGCGGTCACTTATCAGCTGGTGATGCTCAAGTTACCTCATGAGCTGGCAGTGGAGCTGGAGGTGATGGCGATAGGCCGGTAGTTGGTCTGAGCGGTCGCCTTTTTTAGGGATCGGGTGGACGAAAGCCGTCTTCCATGATTTTGGGACTACGCCAAGGGAGTAGGAGTACCGGAAATGACGCGTCAAAACCGGTGCCAACTCTGGAGCACACGTCCTCAGCATAATTGGGGGGATTCCGTCAGGCCCACTCGACTTGTAGATGTCCAGGGAGAGGAGTGCTTTGCGAACCGAGCGCTGTGTGAACTGAACTTCCGGAATGGAGCACTCATACCGCGTAATGGTCGGCGGCGTACTCCCCCCCGTCATCGAGAGTCGAGTTGGACGCAAAAAAGGAGCCTAGAAGATCGGCTTTCTCCTTTGCGGTATGGGCCAGTGAGTCGTCCTCCCTGTGCAGAGATGGAAGAGATGGCTGACAGAAATTCCCCTGGACAGCCTTGGCGAGAGACCAGGATGCACGGGTTCCAGAAGGAAGGCGAACTAGTTTCTCGCCAATTCTGCCTATGTGCTCTGACTTTGCCTTGGCAATGACTCTTTTGAAGGACCTAGAGGCGGAATTATACTTCTTTTTTATAGCGCTGGTATTTACATCCCGGGACGCTGATGCGTCAGCCCAGGCTCGGTAGCACTCCTGCTTATAGCATGATGCTATTTTACAGAAGCGACCAAACCATGGCTGAGATTTGCCTCCAATGGGCACCACAGAGGAAGAAATAAAAAGTTCCATACCCTGAAGTACCACATCAGCGACAGAATCCGCAACAACGTTGGGATCGTCCGGCGAGAAGCAAACCCGCTCCCAAGGGTAGGATGCAAAGAAAGACCGCATCCCAATCCAAATCGGCTGACCTTTAGTGCCAAACACGGCGGCAGCCTTCAGAATGCAACTGCGATTTCAGCGTGAGTGTCACCACACTCTGAACAAGACAATGGTCCGAGGAGGCTAAAGGGGCTTCGACGGAAATCTGATATCCGTCCGGGTGATAGGTCAGCAGAAGGTCCAACAGGGAAGGTGCATGATCCTCCACATCTGGAATCTGCGTAGGCGAAGTAACCAGTTGTGTTAGACCATATGCCAAGGCAAAATCATGAACAGATCTCATCGCATGATCGGTTAAACGTGAACCAAGCCATTCGGCGTGATGGGCGTTAAAGTGGCCAAGGATCACGATCTCTGTGGAGGGGATCTGCTGTAGCAACGAATCTGTAGCCATTTAGACGTGGTCGAAGAGTCGGTCTGTTTCGGCATTACCGCTATGGGACCTATAGAGGCACCCGTAGACGCGCGGATGGTCGTCGCTGTCTACGCGTAGCCAAAGGATGGATAGGTCCGAACCTTCAAGTCTGCCGAGGCGTCGAGAACAGATGTCCTCTCTGACGTAAACGCAATCTCCAGCCCGAGGCACAAAGGTGTGTTCCAGTTTGTACCCCGGGTAGGAGAGATACGAGACATCAGCCGGAGAGGACACCTGCGTCTCGGTCAAGAAGAACAGAGCCGGCCTCGCCGTCTCGAGATGGTAGTGGACGGCGTTTAGGTTAGAGTGAAGTCCCCTGATATTGCAGAAATTCACGGACAGCGTGGCAGGGGTCGCCTTGGTCTTGTTGTTCCGTTTGCCCCGAGCAGTTGTAGTCTTGAACGGAATTTTGCCCCCCCCCCTCCTGAATACGCGGGGCAGCCTGAGCACCCACGCTCAGAAGTGGAGAAACATGGTCGTGGATGCTCAGCGAGGGATTCTCCAGGGGTGCTGTTACCCTCCTGGGGTAGTCTAGTAGGTGAGGGGGGGGGGATTTGGGCCTCCGGCCACCTGCACTCACCAGACGAAACGCGGTATTCTGTGAGGTCGTGGTACCACCCCGGTTTGAGCCGGCCCATACGTGCAAAAGCGAAGCTGCCGTGTGCTCTACCACTGTTTACCTCTTGTATAAAAAAATATTACATGTGTACCTGTTCTATAGAAAAAATATTACATGAAAGATTACCGAGAAATAAAGAAAGAAATATCTCAGTACAGAACTATTGTTAGGAATCCGTATTTCCACCAATGTTTTTATAAAAATTTAGCAAAAATCGAATTTACATTCCTTCTGATGGTAATTGGCTATTGAAACCTATTGAAACTAGCAGCCAACTTTAAACAAATAATCCTACAGATTCATGGTCACATCTCAGACCGAAACAGCTTTGTTAATTGGCGGCATAATCGTTATGAAGATGATACCATGCCAGACGGACGCCAAAACAGAAAAGGCTGCTTACCACCTAGTAGACTGATAGGATTAATCACTGTGAAATAAGTGGGGATTCAAATATTCTGTAGCCCCTACCTAACTTGCTATCTACATAGCTAGTGTTCGCCTTATTCGAGTGTTTGTTAGTTACGTATTCTTTAATATATGACACTTTTTTACGCATCTTTTGTTTCATCATCATCATCATTGCAGCCCATCAAAAGTCCCCTGCTGAGCATAGGCTTTTTTTTAATAATATTATATTTCAACCTATTATATTACAACGTCTTAATAAGTAAACCAAATTACAATTTTACTACGAAATATTAACAGGCGTGCTAAGCTGCGACTTCGCGCCGAAAGAAAACTGGAACAAATCTAATACATACACGTTGGCGTCGGCTGGTCGGGATGCATTAGTGAAAATATGGAAGATCCAACTCGAAGAAGACACGAGCGGAGAGACAAGCGCCACTATGTGCTTACTCTGTTGCCTAGAAGCTCATGGTGCGGCTGTTGAAAGTGTTAGGTTTGGAGTGGGCGAATATGAATCAGTGCATCTGGCCACTAGTGGCGCGGATGGGTGGGCGCGAGTTTGGCGTCTTGCTGCCGATGGTCGAACAGAAGCTCTAGCCGCGGTGCCAGTTGGCGGTGCCACTGGTGCCACGGCAGCCACCCTTCTCGGTACTTCCGTGCTGGTGGCCGGAACTTTGACTGGTGAACTAACCTTGTGGCGACTACCAGCAACCGTCGAAGTTGGCAATGAACTGACTGATGACGAAGGAGATGATGGCGCTGAACCACGCCATTGGGGCGTTTCAGGAGTTGTGAAATGGCTGCGCGAATATATCACACGTATTCCTGGTGAGGATTAGCTCTTTTTAATATTTTTTTTTGTATTAGGAAACTCAACAGCATTTTTTTTCCAAAATACTTAAAAAATATACACTTAGCTAATAACAGAGTTTCACAATATCATGAATAACACTTACGTAGCAGAGAGGTAAATTTGTAACTTAGTATAATTTAAATAATATTGCATTGCAGTATAGGTTTTAGATTAGCAGCTTTTTTACAAATTTTTTAAATATTAATATAATAATTAAATTAAAATAATATATATATATATATATATATATATATATATATATATATATATATATATCCATAAATCCATAAACACTCACGCCTGTCACCCAGAGGGGTAGGCAGAGACTACAGATTTCCATTTGGCACGATCCTGACACACCTCTCTCGCCTCCTTCACATCCATACACCTACGCATACATGCTCGTCGGTTAAGGGTACTCCTAATTTGGCCCGTTTCCACTAAATCGCCAATTTGGTCGATAATTTTTCGCCTAGGACGTCCCTTTCCGAATCTGCCATTCACTTCTGCAACATAAATTTTCTTTGTCACTCTTTCCTCATTCATTCCTTCCACATGACCAAACCACCGAAGCATTCCTTTCTTAATCCTGGTCACAACATCATCTTATAAACCACACTCTTCTCTTATTACACAATTTCTTACCCTGTCATTCAGATTCAAAAATATACTCCTTAACGACCGCATTTCTACTGCGTTTATTCTACTCTCGTGCTTCTTCTGCCACACCCAACTTTCACTACCATACGTTAAAGTAGGGACCAACACAGCATTGTGAATTGCCATACGTGCCTTTTTCGACACATTTTGACTCTTCACAATAGAGTGCAAGGCCCCATTTACTCTATTTCCCTCATTCACTCGTCGTTCTATATCCTTATCATATCTCCCATCCCTGCTAAATACGCAGCCCAAATATACAAATTCATCTACTTGCTCGATCAACTCCCCTTCTATTCTTATTTCACAAATCGTTTTACTTTCTTCTCTTTCAAAAACCATAACCTTCGTCTTACTTGCGTTTACTTTCATACCCCTTTCTTTTAATGATCCGTTCATTAATGTAACCATCATTTGCAACTCGGCCGCCGACGATGCAAGAATGACTTGATCATCGACGTACAAAAGGCATTTGACGGTTAACTCACCCATTCTTAATCCGCATTCTTCAACTTTCAAATTTTGCAAACAACTGTCCATAAATAGGTTGAACAGCCACGGGGAAGCCACACAGCCCTGTCTGACACCTTTATGGATGTCAAACCAGTCCGAGTAGACCCCGTTGATCCTAACACAAGCACTAGAGTCCCTATAAAGAGACTCCAATGCCTGTATCAAGCCAGCGCTCAACCCAAATGAGTTCAGTGTTTGCCATAGCAAATCCCTATCCACTCTGTCATAGGCCTTTTCCAAGTCCATGAACGCACAAAAAACCTTTTGGTTTTGGCCAGAAACTTCTCCGCGATCATGCGCATGGAAAAGACTTGGTCTGTACATCCCATTCCCTATCTAAAAAAAAATATCTAAATATATATATATATATATATATATATATATATATATATATATATATATATATATATATATATATATATTGCACCGTTAGGGGTACAGAATAGGTGGGTTCTTAAAAATCCAAGATTTACTGTATTGTAATTATTTATTTATCTTACTTCCGCACACGTACAAGTAAGTTCTATTAAGGGAATCACGGCTTGACGTAGGGGCGAAGTCCAAGAGCTGTTCCCCTAAGGCCGTAGACAGCCAGTTAGCAGAAGGGCCGGTGAAGCCCAAGCCGATAGTGATGATGGCCGTTGGTAGGAGGGTAGGCCAACACTCCGTTAGCTCGCGGCTCGGCAGCAGTAGCCCTTAGGTAGCAGGTAGATGCTTAGGTAGTTGGTAGGTAGGTAGTTGAACTTGAAGCGGTCTCAGGTAGAAATGAAAAAGGAATGGCCCGAACGGGGACTCGTCGTCGTGTCCGAAACCTACCGAGTCTTTTGTTTTAGAGATCGTTGAGCAAAATAGTTCACGCTGCGCGGATTAAATTAACTAGTCTATGGTTCCGTAGAATAACTATTTTGAATTAACAATATGTAATAATTCGTTACTTTTTATTTTTAGATTAGAATATTATATTACTATTATTTATTTAAGATTTAAGTTCAATCAATTATAAGTATTTGTAAGGGTGCATTAAGAAGCAACGTTACAGTACCCTGCCAACTGAAGAAGGATTTTGCGTCTTTAGTAGTAAAATCCGTCTATCTGTTTCTAGTCTACTAGGTACCGAGGAAAATATTTATTTGGTATTAGGTTTTAGGTCTTTTATGTGGGAGGGGGGGGGGAGGGGGGTTTTGGGGGGGGAATATGGGGTGGGTGTGGTGAGTTTGTGAGGGGAAAGGAGAGGGCCCGGGGGGGGGGTTTTCCCCAATATCCTATAGATTTACCGGTCATATTAGATAATTCGTACAGAAGTGGCGATTTTTTAGTAATAATTTTGTATTTAGTGAATTTTGGAGCTAATTTTTTATTAAAGTATTTATCTTTATCACTTTGATAAAATGTCCTTTTCCATACTATGTCCCCTACATTATATTCAGCAGGCCGACGACGTAAACCATAAGTATGACAATTTTTGGAATGTGCTTGTAGTAGAAGGGCTTGCACTTTGTCAAAGATACTAGACAGGCAACCTAAATTCTCAGCATAAGAGTCTCGAGGGTGATAAATAATGTCATCGGACTCAGCATCGGCGTAGTGAGAACCACAAGAAACTAATTCTCTGCCATATACGAGAAAAGAGATATCTGCCACATACGAGAGAATATGTAGCCAGTTACTTCATTAACTGCGCTATTTATTGCGAACTGAATTTGAGGAATTAGTTTATCCCACACTCCATGATCATTTTCAATATATGTGGATATCGCAGTAATTATTGTTTTATTATAACGTTCTACTGTGTTTACGTGTGGTGAGTATTTGGGCGTATAATGTAGGTTAGGTACTTTATATTTAGAAAGGGTGTTCTTTAGAGTAGCGCTAACGAATTGTTTACCGTTGTCTAGTATTACGGTGGAGGGAATTCCATGTACTAAAAATACACTTTCTTCCAGAATCCTACTTACTATTTCAGCTGTGGCTCGTTTTATGGGAAATAAGAGGCAATATTTGCAAAAGCAACATGTAACCACGAATATGTAGCAATTTTGCTTTCTCGTCGGTGGAAGAGGTCCTATAAGGTCCACGCTAATTGTTTGAAAGGGTCTAGAACATACCTTAGGGTGTCCCATAATACCTAACGGAACGTGATTTTGATGCTTATGTGCTATGCAAGTATCACATGCTGAAACAAACTTCACGACATCGGCGTGCATACCCGGCCAGTAATATCGGAGAGACAGGCGTTTGTAGGTCTTGAAGACTCCTAAGTGTCCAGCAGTAGGTTCTGAATGGTATTCTTTAATGGTTGAATTACGTTGTTCAGCAGGTAATACTTCTTTACATTCAAACTCTTTTTGTAAGAGGCACTTACTCTTCATAAGCCTATACAGTTTGTCATTTTTAATAAAATAATTAGGGAAGGATGAAGGGGAAGTCTGGCAACCTGTGTAGATTTTTTGATACCACTGATCCGTAGTTTGTGTAGCATTAGGATCATTATCCATGGCAAATACTGGACATGAGCGTGAAAGAGCGTCAGAAATAATATTGTCAGCACCGCGACGATGTTTTACGTCAAAATTAAATGCTGATAATTGTACTCCCCATCGGGCTAGACGGCCAGTAGGATTGCTTAAATTAAGAAACAATTTTAAGGCGGAATGGTCAGTGTATACTGTAAATTGAAGGCCATTGTCTAAATAGCAACGCCAGTGCTCTACTGCTACTAGAACAGCCAAAGCTTCTCGCTCATTAATACTATAATTACGCTCCTGTGCAGATAGCGATTTGCTCATATAGGCTATAGGAAGTTCCACACCATCAACTGTTTGAGTGAGCAGGGCTCCTATACCATAATCACTCGCATCTGTGTGAACTTCAAAGGGCTTGTCGTAAATCGGACAGGATAAGATTGGGGCGGATATTAGGCATTTCTTTAATTTTTTGAAGAAATCATCAGCCTCTTTAGACCAAGAAAATGGGGCAGTTTTTTTTCCAGTAGAAGTAAATTTGTTAAGTGGACCAGCGATTGAGCTAAAATTGGGAATAAATCTTCGGTACCATGAAGAAGTTCCAAGAAATCTTTTGACTTCCCTTTTATTAGTAGGGGTAGGAAAGTTCAATATTGCCTTAACCTTGCCGGGATCCACGTGTAAGCCTTTAGAGTTGACAAATTAGCCCAAATATTTAAGTTTGTTACGAAAAAAAATTTACTTCTCTGAATTAATTGTTAGGTTAGCGTATTTTAATTTATCATAGACTTTCATAAGAAGCGAAATGTGATCTTCAAAGTTATGTGATATTAAAATTATATCGTCAAGAAAAACAAACACAGAATTTTCGAACTCGGGACTATTATTAAACAACTGGTCAACCAGCCTTTGTTGCGTAGCGGGAACATTGGTTAATCCAAAAGGCATGGTGACAAATCTATACGTGCCGCGAGTAGGTATATAGAACGCAGTTTTGTCACGGTCTTTTTCGGAAATAGGTATTTGCCAGAATGCTTTAGACAAATCGATACTGCTCAAATATTTAGCATTTTTAAGGTTATCTAATATCTCGGAAACATACGGCAGCTTGTACGCATCCTTACGAGTAATAGAATTAAGCTTACGGTTGTCCAGGCAGAATCTCAATTTACCATTTTTCTTGGGCGTTAGTAGTATAGGGGAAGACCACGGGCTCTCGCAAGATTCCACTACATCGAGTTTAAGCATTTCGTCTAGTTGTTCGATAATGACGCGTAATTTATCTGGTGCCAATCTATAGTACCGCTGGCGGATAGGCAGTGAATCTCCGGTATCAATTT